ATCCAAATCTCTCTGTACGATATTTTCACGATATACATCTCACGGTACGATATTTATTGCGATATTTTGTGGAGGCCAAACTGTTAATATTCTACTTTTTCCTCTTAACCCTCTCAGGCTCAAAAAAAAAATTTTAGTATCAGGAAAAATCTGATATTTGGGAAAAATTATAATATGGGGTAGTAATATACAATCCTGACTTTTTTATCCTTTGTAAACAAAAAAAGTATTTTGCACTTCTGGCAGGCTGTTTGTGTGTAGTCATTCTTGCACAGTCTGCATCGTCCATGTTTATCAGCATGGATGGGAGAAAAGGCTCCTGAGTAAAAAAAGCTCATAAAATATGGATGTGGAGTAAGTAGATAATTGGAATTTAGCTTTTGCAAATCTGCAGCGCCTGCCTGGAGAGGGTTAAAACGCCTTGACAAGACTTAATCCAAAGAACTAAGACTTAAAAGTGTTACAACTGTTATTTCTTCTTGTCGTCTGCACTGAAATGGAGCAAAGGATCATGGTCTACGTAGTTCCTTCTGTCTTTTTTTTAAACTATTGCTGCACCATAACTCTTCATTTAAGTAAAGAGACTTGTAATTCGATATATTGTGATGGTCCACGATGTTATTGTGAGAACTCAGACGAGACAATATCACGATATTTCGGTTATTATGACATCCCTAGTATTTTTTTGTATATTTTACTAAATTATTTTGTTACAGAGCTACAGTTTTGTTGCTTGTTCAGAGGAAGGAAGCTCGTTTATGCGACACATTTGACATTTTCACTGTTTTTGATGATTAAAACGTTTGTGTTTCATATGAACTTTGCACAAGAAGTGGTTTAACAAAGACTTTTTACATCACAGCCACATGTTTTGACTTTCCGTAGCAGATGGGACGTTGGGGGACAGAGAGCGGGCGGGTCGTGTGGGTGGGGGCTCTGGGGGGCACCCGTGGGCGACCGTGTCTGGCGTGGGTGGGCCCTGGGGTGACAGTGTGTTGCGTGTGGGCAGGACATGTCTGTGTGATGGGTGACACGCGTTGAATGGGGTTTGTATTGATCAGCGGGACAGCGGTGGGTTTATGATGAAGAGGTGATGTGGTCCTGAGGTCATGCGTGAGTCAGAGGGAGTCAGAGGAGGACACACGAGCTGAAAAACAACCTGAACAAGTGCTGAGGCTCACATGAGATCACAACATTACACTATATACACTAATCATGTGTAATACAGATGGGGCCACCTCAAATCAGTCTTGTAAAAGGCAGATTTTTGTTGTAATACAGTAAGTTCTTGGGTCTACTCACTGATAGAAAAGACCAGGTTCGTGTTAAAGGTGTATGTGTGTAATTTTTCTACCTGTAATGTTCCACAGTGTGACATTAAACAGTTCTACATTACATTTACTCAATTACAGGTGGTTTTATGGCTTAAAAATACCTAGAAAAACAGGCATTCTGACCGGTAATAACATCTCCACAGAGAAAAGCATTTGATGGACCCTCCACTGGAAAAGTTACTCAAACAACACACTAGAAGGGTGCATATTAAAACCTCCATCTTATAAATACATTAAAATATTATAGCTGTGCATTAATAAAAAAAAAAATCATTTACACACCTTAGATGAAATACATTTGGTTTAAACATGAATTAAAATACAATGAAACATCCACAATTAAATGATTATCAAACATTATCATGAAATATCAAACATTTCCTCTTTTTACACAACGTTTCTGATGTCGTCACAAGCCAGATGTGAAAACTGCTCCAGAATTTACAGCCTCTGGATCGAAGCTGAACTGAACTGAACTGATGTGACTCATTTTGGAATATGAAAATTACGATTTTGATTAGATTTGTATCTGTGAGTCTCTGTACTGGTTTTAAAGTAAAAAGTGAAAAATGTGTAAAATGAAAGAATTTTATACATAAAAATACCAACATTTTCAGTTAGTCCCTCTCTTTTTGTTGAAAATCAAACGCCTAAACAGGACCATGAATGCTCATATTGATCACAGGCTCTTGAATTTATTTATTTATTTATTTTTAGTTTTCAGACCATGTTTATTTAAATGTTTTTGGGTATGTTTGTTAATGTGAGCATTAGTACTCAAGACTGGCCTTGGCCTCGAAATCGGCCATTTTTACCGTCTTGGTCTCGTTTTGGACTCGGTGTTGTCTCAGTCTTGAAGGTGCTTGGACTTGGGCTTGTCTCGGTCTTGAAGGTGCTTGGACTTGGGCTTGTCTCGGTCTTGTCTCAGTCATGAAGGTGTTTGGACTTGGTCTTGTCTCGGTCTTGAAGGTGTTTGGACTCGGTCTTGTCTCGGTCTTGAAGGTGTTTGGACTCGGTCTTGTCTCGGTCTTGAAGGTGTTTGGACTCGGTCTTGTCTCGGTCTTGAAGGTGTTTGGACTCAGTCTTGTCTCGGTCTTGAAGGTGTTAGGACTCGGTCTTGTCTCAGTCTTGAAGGTGTTTGGACTTTCTTGTCTCGGTCTTGAAGGTGTTTGGACTCGGTCTTGTCTCGGTCTTGAAGGTGTTGGACTCGGTCTTGACTTGGACGGTCTTGTCTCGGTCTTGAAGGTGTTTGGACTCGGTCTTGTCTCGGTCTTGAAGGTGTTTGGACTCGGTCTTGTCTCGGTCTTGAAGGTGTTTGGACTCAGTCTTGTCTCGGTCTTGAAGGTGCTTGACTCGGTTGTCTCGTCTTGAAGGTGTTTGGACTCGGTCTTGTCTCAGGTCTTGAAGGTCTCGGTCTTGTCTCTCTTGAAGGTGCTTGGACTCGGTCTTGTCTCAGTCTTGAAGGTGCTTGGACTCGGTCTTGTCTCGGTCTTGAAGATGCTTGGACTCAGTCTTGTCTCGGTCTTGAAGGTGCTTGGCTCTGTTTGTCTCGGTCTTGAAGGTGCTTGGACTCGGTCTTGTCTCGGTCTTGAAGGTGTTTGGACTCGGTCTTGTCTCGGTCTTGAAGGTGTTTGGACTCGGTCTTGTCTCGGTCTTGAAGGTGCTTGGACTCGGTCTTGTCTCAGTCTTGAAGGTGCTTGGACTCGGTCTTGTCTCGGTCTTGAAGATGCTTGGACTCAGTCTTGTCTCGGTCTTGAAGGTGCTTGGACTCTGTCTTGTCTCGGTCTTGAAGGTGCTTGGACTCGGTCTTGAAGGTGTTTGGACTCGGACTTGTCTCAGCCTTGTCTTGGTCTTGAAGGTTTTTGGACTCCGTCTTGAAGGTGCTTGGACTCTGTCTTGTCTCGGTCATGAGGGTGCTTGGACTCGGTCTTGTCTCGGTCTTGAAGCGCTTGGACTCTGTCTTGTCTCGGTCATGAAGGTGTTTGGACTCGGTCTTGTCTCGGTCTTGAAGGTGTTTGGACTCGGTCTTGTCTCGGTCTTGAAGGTGTTTGGACTCGGTCTTGTCTTGGTCTTGTCTCGGTTTTGAAGGGACTTGGACTGGTCTTGTCTCGGTCATGAGGGTGCTTGGACTCGGTCTTGTCTCGGTCTTGTCTTGGTGTTGAAGGTTTTTGGACTCGGTTTTGAAGGTGCTTGGATTTGGTCTTGTCTCGGTCTTGAAGGTGTTTGGACTCGGTCTTGTCTTGGTCTTGAAGGCGCTTGGACTCGGTCTTGTCTTGGTCTTGTCTCGGTCTTGAAGGTGTTTGGACTCGGTCTTGTCTTGGTCTTGTCTCGGTTTTGAAGGGACTTGGACTCGGTCTTGTCTCGGTCATGAAGGTGCTTGGACTCGGTCTTGTCACGGACTCGAGGTCTGATACTGGCCGCTGTTGTCGGCAATAAACCTTTACCTACGTTGTGCGGGAACATTAATCAGATAGAATGGAGATATAGATTTATAAAAACATTGATATAAATGTGCCAAAATAACAAAAATACAAATAAATGGAGAAAATGACCAAGATGGTCTCGATTTGGTCTCAATGAGCCGTGGTCTTGGTCTTGTCACGGCCTCCACTTCCAGAGGTCTTGGTTTTGTCTTGGTCTCAGGACTGTGTGGTCTTGAGCTGGTCTTGGTCTCGAATATTGCGGCCTTGACTACAAAACTAACTGCTGAACATTCCGCCATAGACATGCATGCAGAACTTAATATGCGGAACCTTCTCACTGTTTATTTGGGATCATCTCCACAAACTTAAAGCCCTTTCAACTGGTAACAATCACGTCTTTGGGGCTGAATAAAGGCTCCACTTTCCGAAGCTGTTGCGAAAAAATAATTTGACTTTTGTTTATTTATTCTGACGGAGAAGACGCTGAACTTTGTGCCAGTTTTTGTTTCACGTGGATAGTCCCAGGAATTACAGAGATACAAACCATAAACCATCTCAACAAATCTGCAATCTCCACCTGTCTCCTCCCCTTTCCCACGTCGCCCAATCGTAACGAGCCTGTCCCCCGCGTCGCCCAATCAATACGAGCCGTGTTTGTGATTTATCGCCGTACGAGGAAGCGGAGGAGGAGGAGGAGGAGGAGGACATGATCGCCGTGAATTCACAGTGTCAGATTTGTCCTGGAGCTGAGCCTGTGGAGGAGACCGTAATGCCCACAGACAGGTTTACGACTCTGAGGAAATGGACTCAAAATACGGTGTTTTTTATGTGATTGTTCATGTCCAGAGTCTGTAAACAGTGGGGGTTTCAACACAATCTGCTTATATTGTAAAACATATATCAGGCTGTTTTGAAGGCATAAATTAGTAAAAAAAAAAAAAAAGAGGAAGGAGAATTGGCAACGTATTTTAAACCACAAAAGGAGAAAGTATTTAAATCTATGTATTGTAATTCGCTCCTAAATCCGCTCATTTACAGTTGGGTAATGTAACTAAAGCAACACTGTGTAACTTTCTTGAGGTCCCACCTGATTCAGTGCATGATTCAATGGAAATGGAAAGATAAAGCCATACTTCGGAACATTCTCCATGGAGATAGATATGTTTTATGCCGTACTGTAGAATGTTATTGCCATGGTACATTTATTTATTCATTTATTTTTTTCCTCCGGGGCTAAAAACAGTCATGGAAATCCTGGAAAAGCCGTGGAAATTTGTAAATTCAGTGAAACTGTTGGAAAAGTCATGGGATTTTAGTATCTCTTTCACGCATCTACTTCTCTTTCATGAGGTTATTATGATTATTTCTGAACGTCTGCGCCTTTTGTTTAAAAGAGACGACAATAAATGCACTGACAGGATTTTGAATGTTAAAAAAAAAACTATAATCCCAAACCATAAGGTGAGTGGAAAGAGTTAACATTTCATATTTAGTCCTAAAAGTCTGATCAATTCTACACATGTTGGTGCCGTAAATTAACTTTAGGTCATGAAAAAGTCCTGGAAATGTTTGGAAATTTTGTCAGTGAAAAAGAGTGGGAACCCTGTAAAAAGTTACACAGTGGGGCTTTAAGGAAATAGCTGGCAGTCTTTTTGACACAATATAAAAATGAATTGAAAGTGAATTTCACAAAAACACTCACAGATCTTTAAGATTTTCTGTCATAGGGGTCAAATCTGTTATTTGTTGGACACTAAAATGGAATATTGAAATAAAACTGTTTTCTCATTTTATCGTTTTCGTTCTTGATTGAAATGCAAAAGAACGAATGGTGCACAGACCCCAAAAAAACTAACAACATAAATTACTGGAAGACCAAATGAACCTCATTGGACTATGAATGTAAATAGGTTACTTACTGCTTTTAATATACCTTTGGTTTAAATAACAACTGCCATAATTCCAAGAATTAAAGTAAAAAACATATTTCTTCATATTGTCTGCGCTGAAATGAATCATGGGATATGTAGTTCCCGACGTTTATTAGGCTACATTCAGACTGCAGCTTGAAGTGACCCAAATCTGATTTTTTGGCTTCTATGTTCCTGTATCTGATCTTTTAATGACTGAACAACACAGATCAGATTTTTTTCAAATGTGACCCAGGACACTTGGATATGTGCTCCTGAAACCGATACATATCTGATCTTTTGACATGTGACTTCAGTCTGAACGGCCAAAGTGCATTCATCCAACCTACACGTTATCAGCAAGACACAAACGTCACTATTCTGCGCTGAAGTAGGCGAAAATTGTTAATGAACTCCGTGTCACTGAAGTGAAGCACATCACCACTCACCACTCTTGGCTCCGTCTCCACATCCACACGTTCCTTTCAACGGACGTCGCTGCCGCTGTCCCACAAAACACCACTACCAAAAACCTCGTCCTTCTCCTTCTCAATCTCCTCCTTAAAACAAGTAAGTTGTTCATGTTCTGGCTCCGGTACGAGAGGAACTCAATGCTCAATGCTGCATCCATGTTTGGACAGCTTCCGTAAACACAGATCACGCTCGCTGCGGTTGACGTCCTCGTGTCTCCAGTGCACATGCGGGACACTTTTGGGTCATTTAATGTTCACACTGGAGATCACAAAGAAGTCACATTTAATTGGAAATGTGAACGACCTCGAAAAAACATCGGATTTCACAAAAAAATCGGAATTGAGCGTTAAGCCCTGCAGTCTGAACGTAGCCTTAGTCGTTACTTCTATTAAACAATGTATTTAAGCAAAGGAACTTGTGATTTGATATATGAGGTATTATTAAGAGACCTTTGACGATACGATATCACGATATTTTGGTTACTGTTACATAAATTACAGTTACACATCTTCACATTTTATTTCTAGTGGCTGTGAAATTGCAGATGTTTCGTGCTTTTCCTTCTCCACACCAGATAAATTGAATAGTGTGGCGGCGGTGTTCCCAGTGAATAGTGAAAATCCCATTTGGCTCTGGCTCTATGTAAACGGAGGACTCGGACTCCAGGAGGTCAGGACAAAGCGGAGGAGACCATTATTCTGTCCTGCTCCCGATCTCTCCAAATGTGACCAGCGCTTTAACACAAAACCGGCCTGGATTCAATCGAGGAAAAGGGAAATTGCTCTTTTAAGGAAGAAATTCTGTTTTTCTCCCTCCTTTTTTTTGCTCAGCTGGTGTTAGCGGCTGTAATGCACCAATGTCTCTGCTGCTTACATCACAAAACAGAACACGATCAGGTTGCCACATGTGTTTAAAATCAGATAATAATCGATACTAAAAGTTTAGAATGATCTTGAGCTCTATCAGAACAAGCACCGTATTTTCTGGACTATAAGGTGCACCGAATTATAAAGCGCAATATCAATAATGCTGAAATCTCTCGTCTGTTTTCATACATAAGTCACACTGGATTATAAGGAGCATTAAGTGAAACAAACGGACGACACTTGAGCCCGGCGTTGCCTCCCCGTCTTAGTGAATGTGGATTATGAATGTGAATGTGGGTGGATCATTTACGTTTGTTTTTTTGTTTCCTGCAAGGACGACTCAAATGTATGTTGAGTAATAATGTGTTTAATGCAACTATGAGCACATTTGTTTACGTTTTACAGAAACGAAACTTAAAACCACATGGCTCATTTGCATAAACTGTAAGCGCTGAAAAAAACGGCTCCTTCTACACTGATGCGTCGAGCTTCTGTAAAACGGGCTCCTGACTACGGTCGCCGTAATTTTCCGACAGTCCATCAAGCGGTGCGGCTTCGTAGTTTACCAAAGTTGTACTTAAACATTTTGACAGATTTTTGAGTGCCGTGTTCCACATAAAATCAGTTCGAGGTCAGTACGTTACATTAGTCTATTTTTAAGACTATTTTTAAATTATTTTTAAGCCATTATCTATTATCTTGTTTTATTGTATGTTACCTTTTTCCTGCTGTTCTTGAATTGTGCGTTGCAAGACTGGAATTTCCCCACTGTGGGAGTAATATAAGCATATCTTATCTTATCTTAAACACAACCAGAATTAATACATAAGGCGCACCAGATTATAAGGCGCACTGTCGATTTTTGAGAAAATGAAAGGATATTAAGTGCGACTTATAGTCCGAAAAATATGGTATAAGAGCACATAGACCAAAACCTACCTGGACCACTAAGGGATAATGCTGAAAATGTAGTTTTATTGTCAAAAATAAACTGTTCTTATTGTCATTGTGGTATCGGAATCAATATTAAGTATCAAAATTTAGTTTGAAATTTAATCACTAGAGCACAACTGCAACATTTCAAAATGCTAAATGTTTACTCAAAATATGAAATAATGACAATATTTAAATATGTTATGTCACCAAAGCAAATAGATTTTAAAGGCACATTATGGAACTTTTCTGGTACAGGGTCGGGATCCTGCTTGTCCACATGAAGACGCTTGGAATGTTCCACAGTTTGGCATTAAAATGTCTGTTTCAAAATCTGCTCCAGAAATATGAAATAATGATTCTATTAAATTCATAATGTCACACATGCAGTATGTAGCTTTTCTGGAATTGTTATTGGTTTGCTTGGAATATTCCACACTATGGCATTATGTTATAATTGTATATTCTTCTACATGTGCTTCTGCTTCCCTTTTTTGCTCAGTTGATGTTAGAGACTATAACCCCACACTGTCCCTTACATTACATTAGAGCAGTGCTTGCAGTGTTTTGCTTGAAATGTTCCGCAGTACGGCATTAAATGTAGTTATTTTGCATATATTCGCTTACAGTTATATTCTACACATGCTGCTGAGTCCATTTTTCTCTCAGCCGGTGTTCCAACTGAGTGTCCCTTCCATTACAATAGATCAGCACTTGCGATTTTGCTGGAAATGTTCCACAGTACGGCATTAAATTTTGTTATTTTGCGCATTTATATTGTCTTACAGGTTTATATACATGTGATGGTGCGTCCCTTTTCTTCCTCTTTGTCTCAGTTGGTGTTCGGGGCTGTAACCCAACACTGTCCTTCACATTACAATAGAGCAGCACTTGTTGTTTTGCTTAAAATGTTCCACTGTACGGCATTAAATGTAGTTATTTTGTGCATATATATTCACTTACAGGTATATTCTGTGGGCTCCTGAGTCCCTTTATTTTCCATTTTCCTGTTTCTCTCAGTTGGCGTTAAAGACTATAACCCCACACTGTCTCTTACATTACAGTAGAGCAGCACAGATTTAGCTTGAAATGTTCCACAGTACGGCATTAAATGTAGTTATTGTGTTTATATATATTCTCTTACAGGTGTGTATACATGTGATGGTGCGTCCCTTTTTCCTCCTCGTTCTCTCAGTTGATGTTAAAGACGATAACCCAACCCACCACCCTGTTCCTTAGATTACAATCCAGCAGCACTTGTTGTTTTGCTTGAAATGTTCCACAGTTTGGCATTAAATATAGTTATTTTTGCATATTTATTTAGTTACAGGTAGATTCTACATGTGCTCCTGCATCTTTTTGCGTTTTGTTTTGCGTTTTTTTTTTTTTTTTTTTTTTGCTGGAGAGACTATAACTTTACAATAGAACAGCAGTTGCGATTTTGCTTGAAATGTTCCACAGTTTGGCTTTAAATGTAGGTATTTTGCACATTTATATTCACTTGCAGGTGTAGTCTACATGTGTTCCTGCTTCCCTTTTTTTTCCCCATTTCTCTCAGTTGGTGTTAAAGACTATAACCCCACACTGTCTTTTTCATTACATTAGAGCAGCACTTGAGATTTTGCTCGAAATGTTCCACAGTACGGCATTAAATGTAGTTATTATGCGCATATATACAGTATTCACTTACACGTATATTCTACACATGTGCTCCTGCTTCTGTTTTTTTTTTTTTTTCTTTTTCTCTCAGTTGGTGTTAAAGACTATAACACCACACTGCTCCTTACATTACAAAAGAGCGGTGCTTGCGATTTTGCTTGAAAATGTTCCACAGTACGGCATTAAATGTAGTTATTTTGCGCATATATAGATGTATTCTGTGTGCTCCCGAGTCAATTTTTCTCTTAGTTGGTGTTAAAGACTATAACCCCACACTGTCTCTTCCATTACAATAGATCAGCACTTGCGGGTTTGCTCGAAATGTTCCACAGTATGGCATTAAATTTTGTTATTTTGCATATATATATTCAGTTACAGGTGTATGATCCTGCGTCCTTTTCTTCCTCTTCCTCTCAGTCGGTGTTAAAGACTACAACCCCACACTGTCTCTTCCATTACATTAGAGCAGCGCTTGTTGTTTTGCATGAAATATTCCACAGTACGGCATTAAATTTAGTTATTTTGCGCATACATATTCACTTACGGGTGTATATACATGTGATGGTGCGTCCCTTTTTCTTCCTCCTCGTTCTCTCAGTTGGTGTTCGAGGCTGCAGCCCCTCTCTGCCCCTCACATTACCATAGAGCGGCGCTTGTGCGGATGTGCAGGCGAATCTCGATCCATCAGCTCCGCACGGCGACAGGATCATCATGACGGGGGGAATGTTCCGCCAGGGGACATCGGGTCTAAAGGAGGAGACCCCTGTGGAGACCGACAGGAGCAGGCAGGAGCAGGCTATAAGGACAGACAGGTGCAGGCCATAAGAACTAGGAAAGCAACGATATTCGATACAGGTCTGTGTTGTCATTTATTTTGGTCCGAAAGAGAAACAGTTATCGCAGCGTTCTTCTCAGATTCAGCAAGAAAACAGCTCCATTGGGACTTACAGCTGAAATATTCTAACAGAAGTGGATTTTATCTTTCAGTCACTTTTTATTTTACATCGATAGACCCAGAAATGACAAAAATATGAAGTTTTAAATACTTGAGAATCGCTTTTGTCTTTGCATTTCTTCGTTTACTACGCACATACGACGTGACTTGCAATATCTGCAATCTTTTTCTTCGACTCGATCTCGTAAGTTTTAGTCAGAAATGGTCCGCTGAGACATTTCTATGTAATATAAGATAGTTTTAGTGTCCAGAAAGAAGACGGGAGAGCGCAGTGTGTCACAGACTGTAGCAGAACAGAAAAAATTACATGAGTTTATGTTTTGTTTTGTTTTTCGTCTTAAAACGTATCAAAATCAAATCTATATCATGACCCGGATATGGAGGTACATAAAGAATCGTGGGAAAACCATATCGTTGCATCTTTAATAAGAACAGACAGGAGCAGAAGAGGCAGGAGCAGAAGAACAGACTGGAGCAGGCCATAAGAAACACGAGCTGAATACAAAGAACCGGGGCTGAGCTCAGAGCGGAGAGGTTTGGGGGTTTGGGGTTAAGGGGAGATGGTTAAGAACATGGTGCTTTCCTGATATTTGAATGGTCATTTTCAGGGGAGTACTGGCCCAGAGGGGAGCTTTTATTCTACATATTTTAGTGCTACCTTGGCAAAAAAAAATGTATTTACAGTGTGTATTTGCACATCTAGATATCAGATGTTGGGGTCTTTTCATAAAGGCCAGCATCGTCAGGTTAGTTTAGCTTCGTTGGGGCTCTGTCATGTCCCTCGTTTGGTCCGTGAGTTGGTCGGACTCAACGGAATCAGCTAAAGACGGACTATTTTCATGCATTTGTGAACACTCAAATCTTGTGAGAATTATTCTAGCAGCAAGAACACACTGCATCATTATTGTGACTGTTCAGTAGTGATGAGACAATAAACAGTAATATTTGCCTTTTATACCACCAGATTATGCAGATAAAGCTCCTTCTACATAATGATGTCTTATTTTTTTGTTGTTTAAACAATGTCTACATGATGCATATACTGAGTACCGTATTTTTCGGACTAAAAGGTGCACTTAAAATCCTTTTAATTTTCTCAAAAATCAACAGTGCGCCTTATGTATTAATTCTGGTTGTGCTTACTGACCTCGAACCGATTTTATGTCATACACGGCGCTCAAAAAGCTGTCGGAATGTTTTAGTCCGACTGGTAAACTACGAAGCAGCAATGCTTGATGGATTGTCTTAGCATTACGGCTACTGTAGACAGAAGCTGAACTGCATCATCGCACAAGGAGCGAGCAGTTTTTTCAGAGCTTATAGTTTATGCAAATTAGTCATGTGGTTTTAAGTTTTGTTTCTGTAAAATGTAAACAAATGTGCTCAAAGCTGCATTAAACACATTATTACCCAATGTATATTTGAGTCGTCCTCGTAGGAAATAAAAAAAAAAAAAAACTTAAATGATCCACCCACATTCACATTGATAATCCACATTTACCAAGACAGAGAGGCAACGCCGGCGAATTACGCCACGATCTGCCAATGGATCATGGACGCCTGGGCTAAGGATCAGTCTCACGTGTCGTCTGTTAGTTTTGCTTAATGCACCTTATAATCGGTGCGAATTATGTATGAAAATAGATGAGAAAATTCAGCATTATTGATATTGCGCCTTATAATCCGGTGCACTTTATAGTCCAACAAATATGGAAGGTAAATAATTATGATGCTCAGGCCCTCAGCAGTGTGGAGATCTTAAGGAAACTCCTCTTTTACACATTAAAACACAGACTGGCCCTCACCCTCCCCTCTCCTCTCTCCTCTCTCGTTTCAGACTCGGACGGCTCTCCTCACTCCCCTGGCAGCGTGGAGACTTTGAGGAAACACCTGAGAGCGGACGCCTTCACACAGCAGCAGCTCGAGGCTCTGGATCGAGTGTTTGAGAGACCACAGTATCCGGAAGTGTTCCCCACATCTGAGCACGTCAAACCAGAACAGGTATAGAGGGTTTTACAGTGTTATTTATTAGTATTTCAACAATTATTTTAGTGATCGACAAGTCAGTGGTTACTTTTGGATTCGGCGACTGGTCAAACCTGTTATTTTGACTAGATAAAGATAAGATTATTTAATTTACTTTTTCTGTCATTCGGATTTGATAATGCAGTTGTATTTAGCATGTATTTTTGAGTCCGTGTAGTTCATATTCTATTGATTCAATTATGTACAATAGACCTTTTTCACAACAGCCGGAAGTCCCACGCTGTAGGTTTGCGGAACTTCCCGTTAATAGTTTTCTATGGCAAATTGTCTGCATAAATGTCTTCCGTATTTTCCACTAGTTTCATAAATCTGTCCCTTCACCAAATCTTCAACCCACAAGGTCCACAAAGGATAAACATTCTAACATGAAGAATTTATCCACAACTACCAAGGTAAGAAAGACGAAAACTTAACGACGAACAACAACAACGCATTAGTGAACTACTGAACAAAACTGTTATGTTATGGTCTTAGAGATGTCTAACATTCGAACTGCGCAAATCTCTCTGTCTTTGCGAATATCAACATCATGAAATCGTTTTTTAATTTTAATTGTGGAATCAGTCTAAGTTAACACTGGTCAAAAAGTTTAGAACACCACACTTTTTCCATTTTTTTACTATTTACTGTTGACCAGGACGGATTCTAAACTTTAGATTCATGAACGTGTCACACCACCTTTGACAGATAGAACAGCTGAACACACTCGTGGCTCGTTCTTTTTACAACAGAAATCAAATATTCTTCAGAAAGTTCTTCCCAAGTCTGTTGCAGAAGTTTCCATAAATGTGTGGCACTTGTAGGTCGTTTCACTCTTCTGTCAGGTTCATCCCAAACCTACGGAAGCCGAGAGGGGTCACAACAAACGCAAACGCCGCAACAAATACAAATGCGACAACACAACAAAAAGCCACAACACACCAAAAAAAAAGCCACAACGGAAATGACCGCGGGACTCTGTTTTAATGCAAACGCCGCAACAAATACAAACGCCACGACACAAATGCAAATGCCGCAACACATTAAAAAGCCACAACACATCAAAAAGCCACAACGGAAGTGACCGTGGGACTCTAGTTTTCCGACGGACCGATCAAGCGGCAAGTGAAGAAGAAGAACTTCAACTTGAAACGAATAATGATAAAACAATAAATTACTTTTACTTACGTTTCCAACTTCTCCGTTCCTGTACTTTTCAGGTTGTAGTTCTTCTTCTTCACTTGCCGCTTGATCGGTCCGTCGGAAAATAGAGTCCCGCGGTCACTTCCGTTGTGGCTTTTTAATGTGTTGCGGCATTTGCGTTTGTGTCGTGGCGTTTGTATTTGTTGCGGCGTTTGCATTAAAACAGAGTCCTGCCGTCATTTCAGTTGTGGCTTTTTTTGGTTTTTTGTGGCTTTTTGTTGTGTCGTCGCATTTGTATTTGTCGCGGCGTTTGCGTTTGTTGTGACCCCTCTGGGCTTCCGTACAAACCAGCTCGATGGGGTTTAAGTGTGGACACTGTGCTGCTGCTGGACACTCCAGGTTTTCAGGTTTTACCATCTTGTTCTTTTTTCCTGAGTTAGTTTTGGCAGAGCTTGGACTTGTGTTTTGTATCTTTTTTGTTTTTTTAACCTCTGTCTGTTCAGTTCTTTACTTTGTTTGTATAAATAACTGGAAAAATTAGGCTGTTCTAAAACTTTTGACCGGTAGTGTATGTTTTATTCGTGACCATAACACTCAGTAGTTCATTAACCCTCCCCAGGCAGGCGTTGCAGATTTGCAACAGCTAAATTCCAATTACCTACTTACTTCACATCCATATTTTATGAGCTTTTTTTACTCAGGAGCCTTTTCTCCCATCCATGCTGATAAACGTGGACGATGCAGACTGTGCAAGAATGGCTCCACGCAAACGGCCTGCCAGAAGTGCAAAATACTTTTTTTGTTCACAAAGGATAAAAAAGTCAGGATTGTATATTACTACCCCATATTATAATTTTCCCCAAATATCAGATTTTTCCTGATACTAAAAATTAATTTGAGCCTGAGAGGGTTAATGTGTCTTTCTTACCTTGATAGTTTTGGATAAAGTCCTCATTTAAAGTCCCTGCATCAGATTTTTCCAATAATCAGGAAGTGCACTTTGGGATGCTAGTCGTTGGTAACATTACTTTGACGGCAAAACTCCGCTCTGGTCTCTGAAAGTTGTGAAAAGCTCTTATAAACTCATTGTGGTGAATAATTAGGATGCTCTGAATACTTAAGGTAAGTGAAGAAGAACCTTTTAATGAGTTGAATAAATGTGGACACTGACAATAGTTATAGGTAATACAAAAATGTACATAGTTATATCAGTTTTCAATTGATTATGACAATATAAAACTGAAAAATAAATGTTGTAACAATGACCTACTTTTAATGCAGAACATGTAAAGTCACCTTTTACTCACTGTTACATTTTACAATCTTCCTTCTCGTTATAAGACAGACCTAGATTTGAGGAGCAGTGATCAGGGACAAAAAGTGAGTCTGACCCAGATTCTGAGCAGCACCTGAAGAATAAAAGTGAGACTGGTTCAGATCAGTGAAAATGAACGAGGCTCTTCGCTCTAATGCAAACTGGTGCATTCGTTATAGTTTTCTTTTGTGGTGCAGTTTTTATACCAGGTTATTGCTGAAACACAGAACACTTAAATGTTTTTATCTATTTTAAGATTATTGATTTGGTTTGAGTTGGTTTAACTAGGTCAGGTTAATTTACAATTTGTTTAATCAAGCTTCAAAAGGAAAAATAAAAATAGGCCAAAAATATGTTTTATATTACTCAAGCGTTTAAAAAAAAAAAAAGAAATTGTTGGGAAAAAACAAAATTTTCTTTTTTTTTTTTTTTTTTTATGTGGCATTAGCTTGAGGAATATCATGATATTTTATTCATGTATTAATTTATTTTTAATTAATTTATTTATTTATTCCAGTTTACCTTTTTTTTTGTTTTCACTTCTGTCAAAATATGACTTGATTTGGTGGGGTAATACCTATGGTCAATATTTATCATAGTTTAACATAAATTAAAGATGCATAGTGTAACTTTTCTGGTGCCCAAAATAGTTTTTAGTTTTTTTTTGTTTTTTTTTTCTTCCCAACAACATTTAATTAATGAATTAAAACATGGCAGTAGCTTGAGCTTTTTTTTATTATTTATTTATTTATTTTAATATATTTTTTTAAATAATTATAGTTATAGTTATTTATTTATTGCATCTTTTGTATTATTTTAATAACACAAAATATAAACAATGTGCTGAAACATTATTTGAATAAAACTGAAAATCACGTCTTTGCATTTTTTGTTGTTGTAAGATTCAAGTACCTTATTTTTTGGACTATAAGCTGCACTTTTTGGAGGAAATTTATTTTATAAAATCAGAGACCAGGAACCGACATTTCACGTTGAAAGTGAAGTTGTAGTAAAAACAATAGAAGAGAGAACAACAGACTGTTAACGTCACATATGAACAGTTCTTCAGATAAACTATAACATAAACAACAGAACAGAACAAGTTTAACAAACTCTCCATCTCACTCCAAATCACTAAATCCATTCAATTCTTCATCCTCGGTGTCACTTCTGAACAACTCCTCGACCTCCGGAGGTAAACAGAGCGACGCTTCCTCTTCTGTGTCGCTGTCGTCAGACTCAGCATCAGTTCCAGTTAGAATTATTCTGGTCTTTCTGAATCCCGACAGGATGGTTTCGGTGTCACTGAAGTCCAGACTTTGTCCATCCATCCAGTGACTTCAGGAAAGTTTCATGGTGCATCCTCCCGCTGTCACAAGTTTCTCTCTCACTCCAAACTTTCTCGATTTCTGTTTTTAGCTGCAGATTTCACGACTTGCAGTTTGTAATCTGCAAAATTTGATTTTCTTTTTGGGAGCATTTGTGTTCAGTCTTCTCAGTCGTCTTTATAAGTTTGTTTAAATGTTAAATTGTTCAGTGGTGCAGAAGTAATGGTTTGATCGACTGACATGATACAGACAGGACAGAGGCTCTTTCTGCAGGAGACATGCGCAGTAGAGCCAAGTGACAGTATGTAAGTCACAGGAAACACCCAAACCATGAAAAAAAGTGCTACCTATAGTCCAAATAATACGGTAGTCATTTCCAGCATTCTCATTTTGCATATCGTCCAAAACCATTTCCATTTCACTTTTTATTGTTATATTTCTTCTCTAGTGTCTCTATTTGACTGTAGCTTTAAAATCCAATACAGACCAGACCTCTGCGACCGTCATTCCCAGATTCCCAAACGAAACCTTAGAAAAAAAAAAAAAACCTAATTAAGCTTTATCCAGAGCGCGGCTTACAGTGCGGCGTGTATAATGCTCCAAAAGTCCTGCGCACGATCGATTTTGTGATGAAAAACACGCTCTTCGTATCCCCTATAATTGAGAGTAACAGTAGAGCTCTGCGAAATGAATCAATAAAGCAGATTTTCTCCATTTAAGCTGCACGTTTTGTTATGTCCGTTTGGAGGAGGGATTTCACACTGTTGTAAATCACAAAACGCAGGATCTGTCTTCATAAAGAAAATGAGCGGGCGGGTCCGGAGCGAGGGGAGAGCGACGGAAAACAGGACAGATCTGGGGCTGGAATAAGACGAAATATGGATGGAAATGCAAAGAAAAACCAGGACAGACGAAAGGACTAAAGCAGATCTAAACCAGGGACCAAACCAGGACTAAAACAGAACTAAACCAGGAATAAAAGAGAACTAAACCAGACCTTTAACAGGACTAAACCATATCTAAACCTGAAGTAAATCAGGACTAAACCAGGACTAAAGCAGATCTAAACCAGGACCGAACCAGATCTAAACCCGAACTAAACCTGAAGTAAATCAGGACTAAACACAATCTAAACCCAGACTAAACCAGGACCAAACCAGGTCTAAACCGTGACTAAAGCAGGATTAAAC